GCCACCACTGGCTACGCAGTAAAAAAAAATTAAATAAAAAATGTGGTTGAAATAATTTTAAACAAAAATATCTGCAGGCACTTTTTGTGTACAATGAGCCGTTTTCTCAGAAACAATGCTTGAAGCGACCGTTGAGTTTTATCACCGGTCGTTTTGGTGAAAAATTCGATCTTTTAATCAGAAAGTCCTATCGATAAAAATTAAAATACGTTTTAAACTTGAAGAGTGCAGCTTTCGTAAAGTATTTTCGTATTTTGCTACAAATTAGGTCGGTTTTTATAAAGTTGTAAAATTAATAAACATTTCGCGATTATTGCCATTTTTACAATTCTCATGAGATTAATAAAATTTATTATTTTTATTGACTGGTCGTAATGGACTTTCTATTCTAATAGTACAATCTTTAAAAAGTAAACAAGTAGAAAATATGGGCTGGATATAAACACCAGAAAAACCAAGCTAATCATCATCAGCAAGAAAAACATAACTGTAGCAAATCTGTATGTGAACCAAATGAGAATTGAACGAGTCTTACAATACTTGGGAACTATATTTAAGAAGTCGTGGGACAATAACCAAGAGATTAAATGTCGTATCGAAAAGGTAAAGACTGCAGTCTTGACTATAAGTTCTGTGTTCAAGAGTCATGACCTTAGCATAGAAACAAAAATAAGGCTCCTTAAATGTTACGTGTACTCAGTGTAGAAACGGTGTAGAAACGTGGACATTAAAGGTGAAACTCTATCAAAACTTGAGGCTTTTGAGCTATGGTCATACAAAAGGATCTTGAAGATACCATGGACAGAGATAGTCACCAATCAAGAAGTACTGCGGAGGATAAACACAACTGCGGATTTGCTCAACATCGTAAAGGGCCGTAAGCTGCAGTACTTGGGCCATATAATGAGAAATCAAAGCAAATACGAGCTACTTCAATGCATTTTACAAGGTAAAATTGAAGGAAAAAGGGCTCCAGGACGAAGAAGAATATCCTGGCTTGCTGACCTGATATAGAAAGACTTTAACACAGCTATTTCGTAACGCAACCAACAAAATCATCATAGCCAGAATGATCGCCAACGTTCGGAACGGACAGGCAGTCCTAAAAAGAAGAATCTTTAAAACGTATAACATTAATTTCAACAAATTCAACAACAAATTAATTTTCCATTTTAAGTTTTGATAACAAATATAAGGCAGTTTAAAGTGTGTTGCCCAAATGCAAAAATAAGACGAGACTTAGGCAGTCTTGGTCTTGGTCTTGCGCCAATACACCTGGTCTTGGTCTTGGTCTTGATCTTGGTATTGAACTCACGGTCTTGGTCTTGGCACAAAATAATAAACAATCAGAATGCCCACTCTCCATGGAAAAGTAGGTACGCGCATCTCCTTGGCGCAGACGTTCCGCCATACAATTCCTATACAATTATTTTAACATTGTTAAATATAATAACATAAATATAATATTTTGATTGTGGGCATTCTGATTGTTTATTATTCTGTGGTCTTGGTCTTGGTCTTGCAGCAAGAGTCTTGCGAGTCTTGCAGTTACAAGCCTATTGCTATTTATTAAACTTTACTTTAAATCTTAGAACAACGTTACAGAGAAAGTACATTTTAAGCTTGAATTAACATTGCCATAATAAAGACCAACCAAATTAATAAATGTCTAACCAACTGACACCGGGGAGGGTTTGAAGCCACGATCTAAGCGATCGGTGCCTATGTTCTAACTAAATCAGCTATATACCATGCCCTACGGAAGTCAATATGTTTCTGAATAAACGTTTGCAATTAATAAGCTTACGCTAAAACATGATTACAACACAAAAAAAAAACAATTGTTGACATAAACTTGGCTGTATTTTAAAGAACATTATCTGCCTAGAAAGGAATTAATGAAACCCCATTATATGAAATGGAAATTTTAAAAAGATTGGTATGTGGCAAAAAATCTACATACACGTATCAAGGGTACAGATTTTTTATGTAATAAGATGTCGAACTATAATCCACTTATTAAAGCAAGATAAATGTTGTTTACAATCTTAGCTCTGCTTTTATATAAAAAACTAACTTGGAAAAATAAAGTATAGGTAAAAAAACAAAGGTAATCAAAAGAAGTTATTTGAAATTAAGGAGATATCTACTTAATAAATACATTAATTTACCAAAATAAAGTAGTGGGTACATATATACATCGGTTTAGAACGTCTTTCGACGTTGTTCAATACCTAAAACCCATTTCTTCCTATCTTCGCAGTCGTTTGTTGTTAAATTTCTTTCGCTCATGGACCTGTTTACGCCGTGTTGCCATTCTAATCTGGGTCTTCCTCTTTTCCTTCGACCTATCGGTTCCCATTCTAATACTTTTTTTTGGGAGTCTTGTTGCTGGCATCCGTTGAACATGCCCATAACACCTTAATTGTTTCTTTTCTATATATCTTGAGTTATATTTCCTTCTATTCCCATAGGTTGTTTTATTACATCATTTCTGATTCGGTCTCGTCTGGAAATACCTAAAGATCTTCTCATTGCATCCATCTCTACTGTTTCTATTCGCTTTTTGTTCTTTTCACTAATTCTACATGTTTAGCGCCATAAAGAAGAGTAGTTTTAATCATGGTCTCATATATGTTAAATTTTTTTACTTTCGTTATCTCTTTACTCCACAGTATACCATTGAGACATCCTAAGACTTTCTTTGCTTATGTGATTCGTTTTTCTATTTCCCGTGTATCAGTTCCTGTACTGTCAAAGGCAACACCCAAGTAGTCATAGCTATGACAGCAGGAAATATGTTGTCCGTTTTCGAGGTCTATGTTATCTGACTCGTTTCCAATACAAAGGTATTTGGTTTTTGTTGTATTGACATTCAATATGTAATTGGTAATAAGCTAATAAGTATATATTATACATGTCCACTTTTCTGGCGGTTATTAAAAAGCTTGTAGTATCTCCACCGAATTTTCATTTTTCAGGAAGAAATATTTGTAATTCCTTTTTGTGAAAAGATATTAGGTGCTTCCTTAAACCTGACTTGTTTCTGTTTTTCATTTTTATTTCAACCTTTCTATGTTGGTATAACTTTTCGAAAAACTCATCAAATTTGCTTTTAGATCTTTCAGATCTATAATTCTAACGCTCACTACTCCGACTAGAACTATTTAAATATTTGTCCCTCATGTCAAATTGTAAACTTGCTACTCTGGAACAACAAGGATTAGATGAAAAACAATAATTATTATTACATTAGACTCAAAGGAAACCTCAATTGGGAATGAAGTTTAGTGATGTCAAAAAAGTAACTACTAGTATAATAGTTACTTTATGTCCGTTACTATGCAATACCCTAAGTATCTAATAACAAATCGAGAATTATATATCGTTACTTCGTAATTCTAAATATTTTGGTATTTTGTTTACATGTTAGGCGACATTATCTGGTCTTTATTTGTCTCGTTACTTTTGAATAAATATTAGCCGCGCACTTTTAGCAAATTTTGTTTAACCGAAATATCTCATCGCACACTCAGCAGAAACAATGGATGGTGTTCTGCAATAATAGTCTAAGCCACATATATACGTTCAGAGTAAATGAGCATATTGTGTCTACCTACTTTAAAAAATTCACTGATAGAAAATAAGGCTTTATTTTCACATTTTTATATTTTAATAATTACAGGCTACCTAAATAAATGTACAAAACCAAAATAAGTAAAATCAGTTTATTGCAAAAATAACTTAAATCGACTTACAAAATTGTAAAAATATAAGTTGTTAATTTTGCAATAACCGTCTATCCCTCTGAAATGATAAATACACAGAAAAAATTCGAATTCGAGTTCATTAATAATAGTAAGTTACTGTTACTGATTAATTCCTACTCGATTTAATCTTGAATAATCTCGAAATTAAGATCTAACCCAATTCCCTCCAAATCTTGTTCAAAATCTTTATAGCATCAGTGTTTAAACTTTATTAAAATTATTGAATCCCAAGGTTCGCTAATATCCTCTTGAATCCTCTTGAAGTATCCATCCTCTAAAATAAAATAAGAGTATGAGGCAATCACTTAAAACATCCACTTTTAATATATTATTACGAAGTAAAAATGTTACATTTAGAAAACATTTTATACAACAGCTATAAAAAATAAATTGTATGTTATAGTGCAGTTAGCAAAAAACATCTAACCTCACTACCCCACTAACGGAGCTCATTAAAAACTTGATATATTATAATATGGGCAGCTATCAGAGGTCCAAATTATATATATATTATATATATATATATATATATATATATATATATATATATATATATATATATATATACATATATAGATATATACGTGGGTTGAACTTATTTTTCGGTTTTTTTTTTAAATTAATATGGGGCTAACGCAGCGGCAGAATTCAGTCACATTTTAAAATTACACTACTATGGACCCCCTCTATTAAGTTTTAAATAATAAAATTTGAGGTAGTCCTTTGCTATGCATGCAAGGTAGGCATTTTTTCATCCTACACAACTCTACTATAAGTAATTTTAAACTTAAATGATTTAAAAATATTGATTCTTTAAATTTCTAGTTTGAATCAAAATTTAAGTAATATTTTTAGTAGTATTGGGCGGAAAAATATGGATTTCGTATTAGATTATTTTATTTTAATTTCGTAGAATTAAACTGTAAACAGAAAATAATAAAACTAGTTTTTCTGCAATTGCTACAAGTAGGCACCAAATTTTATTACCTCCTCTAATCTTCGAGAGTCTCGGAAAATCATCCTAAATAGTTCCAGTAGGTATGTTGTTACATGCAAGTATGGCAATTGGACTATGCTTTCATAATCCTAATATAAAACTAATAAAAATATACCTAATAATACAGTATTTAGTAAATTTTTTACACAAAATCGTTTTCAGTAAATGCATGTAGGAGACTATCAAAATAACATGCAAATAATTTTAAAAAATATACTTTAATTATTTTACAGGCCATCTGGAAACTTTGGAAAAACTCATCTTCCTATCCGCTTATCCCAATATATTAAACAATAAACGAGAGACTCCACTTCACATAGCTTGCCTAAATGGACATTATTCAATCGCAGTTCGTCTTTTAAAATATGGAGCCAAACTAGATGTCCTGGATATTGAACGAGAAACTCCACTGTTTAAGTCTGTTAGAGGTGGAAACAAAGCTTTAACTCAATATTTAATTACACAAAAAGCTGCAGTAAATACTTCTAACAGAGCTAAAGAAAAGTTAATACATTTGGCCGTGGCTTATAATGATACGAATCTCGTTGAGGTCTTGATTGATATTGGACAAGATCCAAATACTTTAACAGGCTCAGGTATGTGTTATTTCATCTATACATTATTAAAGGCAATTACTTTTTTAAAAATTAATTAAACCCGTTTTTACTGGTTGACGGACTTAACTGGATCGTAAAATGTTAGAGTCCCGTGACTTTTTTACATTTAAGTACTTTTTAAGTACTTAAGTTACTTAAGTACATTTAAGTTTTTTTTCTAAATTTTAATAATACTTTTTAGTTAAATGTTAAATAATCAAAAGACTGATATTTTTTGTACACACTTATGGCAAGTCGAAAGAAAATGCAAAAAAGTATTTTTGAAGTGTGTATATTTTAGGCAATTCCTAGCTGAGCGCTTTCGGCTTTACAAAGCCATCATCAGAGCTATGCTACAATAAAATGTTCTTATAAGTACTAATTGGTAAAGATTGTAATTTTTAACTTACGTCAATTTTTTAAATACCACTACAAAGGAGAGATCTCATTTCCTTAAATTTCAAAATTATGATTTTGTAGGTGTTGAAATTCTTAAAAACTTATAAAAAAAAACATATAAAAAGCCGACACTGGACTTCACAAACACGTTAAAAAATTGAAAAAATTTTTGTCATGGTACGGGTTTAAGAACCCGACCATTGATTGATGTGAGGACGTAGACTGAATAGAACTAATAAAATCAAATGTCGGTTCTTTTAAACGATTTTTCAAAAGTGACAGGTGACAAATGTCATATATAGGAAATAGAGATTGTTTTTTTAAATTCCTACAAAATTATTTAGTAGTTTGGAATTACTAATAGTCATCAAAGACTTTCTAAAAATTAAGTTTATAAATTAAATTTTATGTGTTCATCACATCATGTTGACATTAGTTTGTAAATTCACTCAAGTCATTGCTCAAGGTCAATGTATGTTCAATCTGACAGCCATCCTTAAGAAACAAGGGCTCAAATTGTTCAACAACAGGATAAAGAAGAAACATGGTATTAATGTTACGTTATCTGATACTTAAGTGTATTAAGAATTGTATGTCTTGATGGAAAATTGTAAGAACTTTGCATAAAAAATTTTTTAAGAATGTATTTTCATGTTTCAATTAAGAATAACTGTCAAATGGATTACAAATTGTTGTAAATTTTAATAAAATTTTAAAATTTGTTTAAAAATATAAAAGTATGAAAATTATATAACAAGATTGCATGAGGTCACCCTTCTTCCTCTAAAGTCTCCCATAATAATTTAAAAAGAGGTTTATAGTTGCAATTGAGGTTGATTTGTGTGTTTAAGCAACAATCAGGGTTTATTTTCATTTCTTTGGATATCTCTAGATCTTCCAAGAGATTCATGAGTCTAAAGTTTTTATTGGGAATGTTGTGTAAAATTTTACTGTTTTCAGAAGGAGAAAATGAATGATTATTAAATTTAATGTGATATCCAAAGTTTGATTTTTCTGGGTTATTGAGGTGTTCTTTGATTCTTTGATTCAGAGTTCTCAATGTTCTACCTACATAAGTCATATTACAGTCACCACAGGACAGCTTGTAAATACCACTTCTGTTTAGTTTGTCAACTTTGTCTTTGGTCTTGCTGAAGATGGACTTGATGTTATATTTGGTTTTAAAGGAGATGTTTAAGTCACTAATTTTATTAACAAGTACTCTTGAAATTTTTTCTGAAATTGGTCCTAAGTAAGTTAAGGATCTATATGTGGAAGTAGTGTTGGAATTGTTATCAACATTAAAAGCTTGGTTTAGTCTCTTTTTGAGTATAGATTTTCTAATGACTTTATCAACAGTAGTAGAAGGAAAACCATTGTTGTTTGCTATCTGTTTAATGATGGAGATTTCTTTATTGTAATTTTCTTGAGACATAGGGATATTAAAAAGTCTGTGGACATAACATTGAATAGCTGCCATCTTGTGTTGAAAAGGATGATTTGATGATGTTGGTATCATATGGTCAGTTTGAGTAGGTTTTCTGAATATTGAAAATTCTAGTGTAGGCAAAGAAGAAAAGGAGGAAGTATTCTTTTTGATAGTTAGGTCTAAAAAGTTGATAATGTTGTTGCTTTCTACTTCTAAGGTAAAATTAATTGCAGGATGTAGATTATTAATTATTGACAAAATATTGTGAGGTTCTGAAGGTGGGCCTTCTATAAAGGCTAAAATGTCATCCACATATCTGTACCATAGGATTATTTGTGGTTGAGAATGAACAAAGTTAGTTTCGAGAGAGTCTAGAAAAAGATCTGCAAGTAGAGGAGATAAAGGATTTCCCATTGCTAAACCCTCTGGTTGTCTATAAATTTTATCGTTAAAGATAAAGAAATCTTGGGAAAGACAAAATTGGAGTAGAGAAGTAATTTGTGAACATTTATTTTGGTCAATGTTTTTTCTTTGTAGAAGGTTATTGATGATTGGAATGGTGTCTAATCTGGGAACGTTGGTGAACAGATTTGTTACATCGAAAGAGACCATAGTGAAGTTATTCGGAAGAGTATGTGAAGAAATTTTGGAGATTAAATCTAAAGTGTTGGCAATAGTATATTTGGGAGTGTAATTAAGTAGATCTAGTAGAAGAGTGTTGATAAATTTTGCTAGTGAAGCTAGTGGGGTATTGACAAAACTAACTACAGGTCTTATTGGAACATTAGCTTTATGAATTTTAGGGAGACCATAAAGTCTTGGTATTAAAGGATTGCTAGAAATGAAAGTTTTGGGGTTAGTTCCAAGTTCTTGAAACAAATTAGTTGCATTAGAAATGTTTGATTTTAGATCATTTATAAGTTTATTCATTGGGTTCTTGTTAAGTGGAATAAATGAGTTGTTGGATAGAAAAGATTCTACTTTGTTAACATAATCACTATTGTACATGATTAGAAGACAGTTTCCTTTGTCAGCTTTTGTTATTAAAAGTTTATGAGTTTTAATTTTATTAGAAATAGATTTAACCAGTTTAAATTGTGTATGAAAAGTTGACATAACCTTATTGTTAGAATAGTATTTTTGATAAGACTGATTTAGTGCAAAAAGACAAGACATTTTTAAGTTGGTTTTTACAGTGTTTGTGATGTTTAAACTATCTATGATGCTATCAATCTCTACACAGAGTAACTAAATATTATTTAAATCAGGTTTAGTTTTAATACAAAATTTGAGACCCTTACTCAAAAAATCAAGTTCTGGTTTTGTAAAATTGCAATTTGACAAGTTTTTAACCCTTTCATGAAATATATGATAAGAAGAGGATTGTTGAGTCACCTGATTCCTGTTGTTATTATTATTTTTATTAAAAGGATGTTGTTGATTATTACCTGATCGATCAGATTTTAATTTGTTTAGTTTTTTATTAAGTCTTTCATATTTAAGGTGCTTACTCAATGCTAAATCATCTTGATGTTCTTGAAGAGCTTGTTGAAAGTCTGAAAAAGAAGAGGTTACCCCTGCAATCCTATTATATAATATTTTAAGTTCGATGTTGATATTGTTGATCTTGGCATAATGTAGACAAATTTCTTTTCTAAGGAGTTTTCTTTCCAAATCTGTTTTAAACTTTGTTGGTATGTTCTTGGATGTTTTACATACAGCAAATTTAGGTGTTAAATGTTGCTTAAGGCATTGATGGATGAACCAGATGTCAATATGTATAAGTTCTCTCTTTGTAGACAGTCTAAGGTACTTCTGGATATCCACTACCATACTGTAGATTAACAATCAAAAGACTGATATTTTTTGTACACACTTATGACAAGTCGAAAGAAAATGCAAAAAAGTATTTTTGAAGTGTATATATTTTAGGCAATTCCTAGCTGAGCGCTTTCGGCTTTACAAGCTTTACCAATTAGTACTTATAAGAACATTTTATTGTAGCATAGCTCTGATGATGGCTTTGTAAAGCCGAAAGCGCTCAGCTAGGAATTGCCTAAAATATACACACTTCAAAAATACTTTTTTGCATTTTCTTTCGACTGTCATAAGTGTGTACAAAAAATATCAGTCTTTTGATTGTTAATGTACAGTATGGTAGTGGATATCCATAAGTACCTTAGACTGTCGACAAAGAGAGAACTTATACATATTGACATCTGGTTCATCCATCAATGCCTTAAACAACATTTAACACCTAAGTTTGCTGTATGTAAAACATCCAAGAACATACCAACAAAGTTTAAAACAGATTTGGAAAGAAAACTCCTTAGAAAAGAAATTTGTCTACATTATGCAAAGATCAACAATATCAACATCGAACTTAAAATATTATATAATAGGATTGCAGGGGTAACCTCTTCTTTTTCAGACTTTCAACAAGCTCTTCAAGAACATCAAGATGATTTAGCATTGAGTAAGCACCTTAAATATGAAAGACTTAATAAAAAACTAAACAAATTAAAATCTGATCGATCAGGTAATAATCAATAACATCCTTTTAATAAAAATAATAATAACAACAGGAATCAGGTGAGTCAACAATCCTCTTCTTATCATATATTTCATGAAAGGGTTAAAAACTTGTCAAATTGCAATTTTACAAAACCAGAACTTGATTTTTTGAGTAAGGGTCTTAAATTTTGTATTAAAACTAAACCTGATTTAAATAATATTTAGTTACTCTGTGTAGAGATTGATAGCATCATAGATAGTTTAAACATCACAAACACTGTAAAAACCAACTTAAAAATGTCTTGTCTTTTTGCACTAAATCAGTCTTATCAAAAATACTATTCTAACAATAAGGTTATGTCAACTTTTCATACACAATTTAAACTGGTTAAATCTATTTCTAATAAAATTAAAACTCATAAACTTATAATAACAAAAGCTGACAAAGGAAACTGTCTTCTAATCATGTACAATAGTGATTATGTTAACAAAGTAGAATCTTTTCTATCCAACAACTCATTTATTCCACTTAACAAAAACCCAATGAATAAACTTATAAATGATCTAAAATCATACATTTCTAATGCAACTAATTTGTTTCAAGAACTTGGAACTAACCCCAAAACTTTCATTTCTAGCAATCCTTTAATAACAAGAC